GGTCTATCAAATAATAAACGGTCAAAGGGGCGCTCCTTTATCGACGCCATTTTGACAGTTGACATTATAGTAAATATTTTAGTCGATTTTAGTACGGTGAAGTGTAGTTAGTTTTTTAGGTAGATTTTTCAAAGTGTTCCTAATTATTGCCAAAGCTTGTTTGCTATTTATTTTTTAATACATATATTAGTTATAGTATACGACTTTGTGTTTTTGTCTCTACCCTCGTCCTAGTTTTGGTTTTAAAGGGTGGCAAACTTAAGGTGACCATGTTACCCTCACGTACTTTACCCCATATCTATAGTGTATGGTTCATCCCGTGGATATCGTAAGAAGCGACAGAGGGAAATGAAATAGAAGATGAACCGCAGCACCTTCCTAATAACAATAAAAAGTAATAAAAAATCTGCAGTTACCATCCCGCTACGCGGGGCTATTATGGCGTAAAAATTGTCTCATAGGGGGATCTCTATGAGGCAATCTATTGTGCTAAATGAATTAATGATTTTTTTTTCTTTTAGTTTATGTGTTCATTTAACGAAATTTACCCACCCTAAGTGTATGATTAAATTAGGCGCTAGGTACATGTTAGTTTAAACATAGTTCATCGACTTTTATTTGCTAAGATAATCTAGCCTACCTATACAAGAAATCGGATTTTATGTACCTAATAGATGACCAGTTGTGAGATGGAACATTTTCCGAGTTTATTCTTACACGTGCATGTGGGTTGGTAATATCGAGGATATGCGCGAACGCATCGTTCTGCAGTAACACAATGGAACTGTAAAGTACGAACGTCGTTTACTGCCGGCTGCGGTTTGGAAATTAAAATCTGACATCTCTGATACAGAGATGCATCGGGGAAAGTTTCACGGTATTGTCAGTATTTGCCGCTATACTTGCTGTGTGAAAATAAAATAAAAACACACTCGCCCTAACATTCCAGTATGTGATGTTTTGATGTAACTTAGATTTTGAGATTGTTTTGTACATAAGTTTTATGACTACTGTCTCATTTGATGGGAAGCTATTTAAAGAATTCGATATAGCAGTTATATAAAGAATATAATGTACAATTGTGTGTTTAGTGAAAAATATAATCGTGCTGCGAGCTAAGAATGTATATCCCCAACCGGTCAGGGTTGGGATAAGCCCTGATAATCTATTTGTAGGGTACGGCAGTTCTTTGAGTGCAATTTTTACATATATTTTAAAGGCATAAGGATTCACATTATATTGTTGAGGACAGTAAATAAGACACGTAGTAAACGATTTTACAGTGCATCGCTTACATTGCTTATACAGGATTTGCTATGATGCAATTGGTTATTTTGAATTAGCAAGTCAACACAGGTCCACCACTCTCAAGGAATGCCACAAAGCACTGTCCTGAGCGACCCGCATCCATTGACCTCGTACACTTAGCTTACCGGTACGGGGCTGCACTCGAGAACTTTTAAAACTTTATACTTACTATATAACTTAAATACCCGCCCCCCATGATGAAAGCCAGTATTATATTAAAACATTACTTAAAAACCTAACATAAACATGCATTTATTGGATTATGAAGTTAATATGTTCTGCAACTCAGTGTGACCGATCCTTTGAAATAAGCTTAGTGTGAAAGAAAAATTTAATATAAATACGTCAAAATATAACTTTAATAGAATTGGTGTGCTAGACACCAGGATGCACTATTTTATTGCTATCTCCTCCAAAACTATTTTATTTTCGATGAAGCACAGATAATTTACGTAATGTGAACAGTGTGTGCATACATACATTCATTTTCATGTCTCTAATTTATTTTCCTTGAAATAAAAATGGAGATTTTTATTTACACACAAATTTGTAAGACTATGTAAATAAATACACAAGCAAATAATCACTTTATGTAGATGGTATAACGCATCAGTAGTATAGTTGTAGCACGAATGGGTCGGCTCGACCGGGGAAGGACAACGCTCTCACAGAATGCCACCAGCGTGAAATGGTAGCTTGATGCTGCTGTGTTTCGTATGGTGAGTGTAGAGAACCGGAGACCCTTTTTACTGGAAATGAGACATTCCATCATAGTCCTCACGGGTGACAACGCATCTGCCTTTTGATTCGTAACCGAAGATAAATGTACCTAGATGTCTATGGGCTACAGCAACCACTTACCGTCAGGAGGTGTGCTCGTTTGTCACCCTATTCTATAAAAAAAATTGTACGTTGGCTTGTGTACCGACTACTGCTAAAATATGAACTGTGCAAATATTTTCATATTCGAGTTTGATATTCTCACTTTTCCTTTATTCCTTATTTTTTTGTTTGACAGAACTTCAATAAAAGTTATTGATTTCAAAAGTTAGATTTAATACTTATTCTATTTGATACTGACACCCGTGTGGCCTTATTTCCAAAAAATAAAAACCTCTAATAAACGAGTAAAACAACTTTCAACTCTCAAATGATATAAAATTAAAAAGCTATCACCATTTGCACAAGCAATATTTTTTGTAAGACTATAAAACGTACCGCCTGCGATCGAAAAATGCGTACTATTAATATTATAATATTATGTTTTTTTTTGTTGTTATTTAAGGAATAAGGACTATTCAAGTGTTGTATACGTCGCTTATAATTATTATAATTAAATACATTAACAAGCAAGAAGGAGAGCTAATAATAGTATAATGATAAAATTAAAAACATTACAATAAATAACTTCGTAACCGTTAATATCATAAAGAATTGGAGACCCTTTAAATTGGTAACAAGACATTATAATACTCGTATATCAGTCTTTAGTGGAGACAATGAGTCTACATTTTATTTTTCATATAAAAGAGATGAAGTACGCGTTTATGAGCCACTTCATTCAAAAATATATAAAAAATACCTTAAAGAAGTTGATGTATTTGTTATATCTATTCTATTGATCTTGATAAATATATCTAATCTCTACTGATATGGATAAGTACAATATTACATTTGCATTAGGTGTAATATTTATTTGCATTTTTGTAAATTACTATTATAGTTTAGCATTTAGTAATCACGTTATTTTTTTAAATTGTAATTAATAAACCCCAGTCAGAAGTACACAAACTGATCGCTACTTTATTTATTGAAATCATTGAGCTATTATGTACTACGTACTAGAGGCGACACTGCATTCAGCTACTCTTTTCCACTCAACTGCGGTGCATACACCGCACTTTAATCAGTCACTCGCTAGGCGCTTGTAGAGTTGTCACGTGTTGTGTTGATTTAAAAAAATCTCTTGATAAAAATATGCCGTCGTGTGTACTTAGATATACCACAAATAATTCAAGAAATGTCAGTAAAAACGAAGGAATTACTTTTCATCGGTTAATAAGATACTTAATCAATAAAAAAGTATTATAGATTAATAATAAAACAAATTATTCCTAAGACGCGATCTCGTGTCATGGAATATAGATTATGAAATTAATATGTTCAGATGCGACATTTCCGTGGGTACTTAAGTATAGGACGAATATATTAACATACACGTTGTTTTTGTAGAAACATATATATGTTACTATAATGGCAAATTTTTCATGTTTAAATCTGCTTATTATTCTTTTATTTTATTTTTAGGTTTCCACATCAAAGTAATAGTGGAATAAATTCGTCCATTTTTAACTTTCGCGTGCCCAGCATTTATGAACGATTCTTATTCTAATTTAAATAAATATATTTGTAATTTAAATGTTATGTTGATAAGATGAAGGAAATGACATAACATGAAAGAAATGACAAAATTTAAATATTGTTCTCGATATAATTTACCTATTTAACAATACAATCTACTATTACCTACGGGTCATTCTACTTATGTTTATTCTATGATAAAAAAAAACCGCCCGAACACAGAGTAGCGTACGTTTTTTGTTTGAGATAGCTGTTCTAGTACGTAAGTACATATTACTTCAATGATTGAAATTAATGCTTTATCAGACAGGAGACAATAATTTTATACATTAATATAAGTATTGCCTGTCACCTCTCGTACACCGAATATTGCACCTGAAACCGGATCGCCGTGCGATCGATTACGCTACGGCTGATATTTATCGACCCATTGGCTTGCTAGGACATTCTTGAATTAGCTTCTTGATGTATTTTTGACGTCTAATAATCTCGATTATGACATTTTTTATAAGCATACAAATGTTGGCAAGTTTGTACGCGTCTATATACGGTCTCTAGCCACAAAATATAAAAATAAATCAATTGAGTCATAATATTTTCTGTAACAAGCGTGTCATACGTTGTTTAACATACTATAGCGGCACTGTAGCCTGGTGATGAGAATCGGGTTGAACCGGGCTGCTACGGCGCGAGTGGTAGGTTTGAATCATACGTATACATCATATAGGTATATATCATGTTTCATTTATTTACTTCTTTACTCAACCAGACTCGTAGTACATATAAAAATATTTTATAATAGTTTTATGTAAAAAAAAATCTTCACACCTTATCTATATAAAAATTTATTTATTAAATTGTAAAGTAAAGCAAAGTAAAGCTACAGCCTATATATACGTCCCACTGCTGTGCACAGGCCTCCCCTCATTTCTGAGAGAGTTTTAGGGCAAGGAAGTGACCGCCGCGCTGCCCCAATGCGTGTTGGCGAACTTCACATGTCTTCGAAATAATTTTTTTCTTATTCCTCAGACGTGCAGGTTTCCTCATACATGCAGGTTTCCTCATGATGTTTTCCTTCACCGTCGAGCACGTGGTATATCAGCTCTTAAAATTGCAATTAACAATTTCATTGGTGCCGGCGGGGATCGAACCCGGGTTACTCGCGTTCTATTATATTTACAGCGAGCGTTAACCATCTGAGCTATCACGGCTCTCTTATTAAATCGTGCTTTTATATAAATATAATATTCAACGTGATATTTCGATCTCACAAATGGCATCCAGGTACCCTGAGTACGAAGCTAGAAAGAACACTAGCTAGGAGTACTAACCTCTCCCACTTCTTCCGACGAACCTCAAGTCATTGAATTTAGCTACTCTGTTCTTCATAACGGCGGTGTTATTTCTCAGTTCTGCGGTGATGTTCTCGTCATTCCCGGCGCGGACAGTGACCAACGTACCGTCGAGTACTTCTCCGAGGGCCACCACCTTGAAACCGCCCGGCAACGTCTTGTTCGACCGCCAGTGCTGAGGCAACACTGAGCACATGTAGTCAGGGCTCCCAGTTCGCACTGTACAATAAAGAAAAATAATTATTATTGCAGAATTTGCTTTTAATAGATCTTTAATAATAATAGATTTTATTATATAATAATATTTTATTGTATTATAATAATTATATAATAAACCTTAATATTAGTAGATATATTGACATGTATATATATATCAAACACTAGGACTAAGGTGGTTTACTATCTACTAATATTAAGATTGTAATTATATGTACATGTAAGAGGTCAGTGTGGTTACAAAAGTGATATATATATATATATTATATATAGAATTTTTAATTACATAATTTTATTTTTTTATACTTTTGTAACCACACTGACCTCTTACATGTACATATAGTTACAACCTTAATATTAGTGGATAGTAAACCACTTTAGTCGATAGTTTATAATTATTACATAAATAAATAAACACTCACGCCTGTCACCCAGAGGGGTAGGTATGGACTATGGACTTTTTAGTTTATATTTATCTGTTATCCAAATAAGGTAGTAAGTAGTAATATAATTAGTGCAAAATTTATTAAAAGTTGATTCTCTTCGTAGAAAATATAGATTTTGATAACAAAACTTTTTTAATTATTATTAATTTATAATTTAGTCTACGATTTTTTATATAATAATTTTATTTTATTTAAAATAATATTAGCACAAAAAGAAGACCTCGCAGTCGGTAGGATTCGAACCTACGCTCCCAGAGGGAATCTGATTTCTAGTCAGACGCCTTAACCGCTCGGCCACGACTGCTTGCGACAGTAAGTTAATTTTAGTGTTTTTATCTGCAGTTACTTATCATAGTATGAAAATTTTCATATCTGTCGACAATTAGATTTACATTAACTTTTGTATTACTTCACATTATCTTTTTTTTTAATATGTAGGTACGCGGGTTCGAATCCTGCACGGAACAAATATTTGTACGACCTACTAATACAATTGTTCCGGGTCTGGATGTTTGTCCTTATGCAATTATTTATGTTTGTAAACTGGCTCTGGTAACAGTATAAAATCCGTGCTGGGTAATTGTATAAAAAACTACAATGTATAAAAGAGATTTTACGGATTTTATCATATTTAATTTTGACTTATTTTTATACTTAATTCTCAACGTTTCAAGTGCTTTGCTGCATCCGTGATCATGAGGCGTTATTTTATATAATATCTTCTTATATTATATAAAATAATATATAATCCTAAACTGGACACATTTCTCCTTGGGCGCATTCTCTCATTTATGAGGGTTATGTAGCAATTAGTCTTTCAAGTATTATATTCCTCAGCATTACAGGTTTCCTCACGGTGTTTTCCTTCACTTCCTAATACCTTGCAATTCAGTCCTTAAAATTATAATTGACAATTTCATCGGCGTCGGCGGGAATCGAATCTGGGTCACTCACGTCGTATTAAATATACGACAAGCGCTTAGCAACCACTGTTCTATATTTTACTAAGCGAGTAACAAAATTCGAATAGTTTGTATTCATAATTCAAATAAATTTTTCTTTTCTTGTAAAAAGATTATTTTGGCTGACTGGATAAATCAAATATTGTTTTTCTTAAACCAAATCGTAAAATTTTGAATTCGAATAAAGAATATAATGTTTAACTAAATATAACACGTAGTCTAATACATCATGTTATACATAAACAGTAATACTTTGGCTGCTATTTCTTGTTGATTGCTCCTACTCTACCCTCTCGCCTTTATACTAATTCAGAAACAAGTTTCTAGTCGCCAGATATTGTTACAGTAGCAAAACACGGCTATGCTTACATGGATCATTTTTTTAATATCAATCTAAGCAAGTAAATTACAATAAACGTTTTTAGGAAGCTTTACATTTTTTTTTGTGTGTGTGTGTGTATATTATAATATATATATATATATATATATATATATATATATATATATATATATATATATATATATATATAAGTGCGTATTTATTAGGGTTTGGGTCCCGGGACGTCTCGTGTCTCGAAGTCCCGGGACTTTTTGTAATTTAAGTTGTCTCGAGTTACGGGACTTTCGGGTCGAGACTCGAGACGAGACAAGATTGTCGAATTTGTTATGTTATCATTTTTATTTTCAAATAATTGAAGGAGCCTAACGCCATCTGTTAGTTAAATTAAAAAAGCAGTTTCAGTTGTTTAAATTTGAAAAAGCACAGTAAGTTTAGAACTACTGTATAAAGCCTTAAACGCAATTTAACCGACAAGTTTGAACAACTTGTCGTAAAGCGACAATTAAAAACTAAATAACCTAACCTAACTACAACAAAACAACCAAAAATAAAATAAATTATTTAAAAATTTGAAAAGATTTACAGTTTCTTTTATAAAAAAAAGGTATGAAGGTGATGATGGGCTGTAATGATGATAGTGATTTACAATATTATTAAAAAAAATAACAAAAATAAAGATACTGCAACGAAGTATGCACAGGCTATGCCTATGATAGGTGCACAGCGCCTGCTCTAGGTGCACGCAGAATCTGGAGAAAGCACATGCAGCGTCTGGAGAAGGTACACGCAGCGCTTGGAGTAGGCACACGCAACGCCCGGAGCAGATACACGCAGCACCCGGAGTAGACACGCAGCGTCTGGAGTAGGAACACGCAGCGCTTGAGACAAGCACGCTCAGCGGCCGAAGATAGCGCGGGCACTAATAGGTGGAGGCGTAGGCGTGGCTAGGCGACGACTTCAGGAGAAGGCTTGCAAGATCCCGAGGCAGTGCGGATAAAGCCTTTAAGAGGTGCTTCTCGTATCAAAGCTGAAGTGAGGACCTCTATCGGCCGATTCTTCGGCTTTTATACTTTTTGACGGATCTGGGATAAGAACGAGAAATTATTTGAAATTATTTAAATTAAAAGCAAATTTTTGTAAATGGCCAAGAAGAAAAGAGTATTTTTGAAGTAAAAACATCAGGCCGGTAACAATATTTGAATAAAAATTGCCACGACAACCAGATAAACAACGATGTCAAAACATGTCAAATTTTGGTTTTAAGCTCGTAATACAGAAACGGCAAGATTTAAGTGAAAAATGAGATATTATTTATATAGGAAAAAAGGTAGCGCAAGAGCGCGCACGAAACCCGAAATTGTAGAGTTACGGAGAACTAAATAAAAGATCGAAAAAGGTAGACTCCATTGACACCGATTTAAAAAGTGCTGATAACGTGAAAATACGAAGTGAAAATGATTTGTTATTGTGTTCTTATGAATTAAAAATATTACAGGATCCTATGGAAATAAAGGTGATGCAAAATATCCAGTTTTGAGGTGAATGTAGAAAATCAAAAACAGAATGGAAAAATAAAAATAAAATAGTGTAAAATGATATGTAAGTATGTATGTAAGCATAACACTACATTTTCCCCCGACCCTGGAAAATTTTTGACTCAGCAAAAATTTTGAGATGTACATTCCAAAATAAACCATAAAAACACAGCTTTGCAGTAACAGACATCACCAGGCAATATCAGATATACTATCTCTTACATTCATCATCTGCATTCAGGTAAGGGTGGAGTTCACATTCAATGACTACCACTCTAAAAGTGTGTTTTCGAAAGGACATTCAGGCTTATTTAAGGAGTTGTCATCCGCTCCTGCGTGGAAAAAAAATTCGAAAGGACATCCAGGCTTATTTAAGGAGTTGTCATCCGCTCCTGAGTGAAGATAAAGTTAAAGAAATTAATCTTAAGCAAGCTTTAGTCGCTATGACTTAAGTAAAGATTAAGAACGGCCAGAGCGGTAGGGCTCAAAGCCAGAGATCAGCAACATCACTAACGAGATGTGTCTGAAATAAAAAGTGAAGATTAACCAACGAAAATTCGAGGTCCTAAAGCAAGATGTGTTGAAGAACACTGGATCACCAAACAAACGAAGAAATAAAAATAATAAGGTGAGAATGATGGTGATATTTATACATATATACAGTTAATAAAAGTTAAAAAAAAAAATTATGATTTTACATCTTTGATGTGCCACTTGCCTCTAACTCCATTAGGATCTTCAAGCACATAGACTAGTGGTGACAGTTTAGCTATCACTTTGCACTTGATGAACTTAGGGGCAAGTTTAGCATTAAAGTATGCGCCGGCATTGCTTAAAACATGGTTTTTACGCCAAACAGTGTCTCCCACATTAAATTCTTTAAAAGACCGGCGAAGATCATAGCGAGCGCTATTTTTAGCGTGAGCTATGTGAAGTTTAGTTTGAACTTTGTGAAAAATAGATGAGAGGAGACCAGCATTAGACGCGTAAATATCCCGAGGCATAAATATCAATTCCTCGAGGTTATGAGTTGGAGTATAGAAGGAACCACAAGGTATTGTTTCCCTACCAAAGACTAAAAAGTTTGGAGTAAAGCCAGTAGCTACATTTGTAGCGCTGTTCATTGCGTACTGAATCTTAGCAAGATGGTTGTCCCAGGATCTATGATCGTCTCCTACTAGAGATGCTAGAGCTGTAATAATTGTACTATTAAACTTCTCCGTAGGATTAACCTGAGGACAATATAAAGCTGTGTGAAAAATACAAGGAACGTTATAAGAATTTAAGAATGAGTGGAATTCTCGCGACTGAAATTGAACCGCGTTGTCCATTATAATAGTTTGAGGAATGCCATGAACTAGAAAAACTGAATTTTCCAAAACATTAATAATATTAGCTGAAGTAGCACGTTTAAGGGGAAAAATCATAGTATATTTAGTAAAATTGCAGTTAATTACTAGAATATATTGGTTTCGTCTTCGAGTCATAGGTAATGGACCCATAAGATCTAAGGATATAGTTTGAAAAGGTCTGGAGCAAAGTTTGGGTTTACCCATAAGACCATAGGGAGAATGATTAGGGTGTTTGTAGGTTAAGCAGGTTTCACAAGACGAGATTAATTTGGCAATGTCCTTAAACATACCAGGCCAATAGTATTTTAAAGATATTTTCTTGAATGTCTTGAAGATACCAAGATGGAGTTCTGAAGGGGAACCATGGT